TTGATCCTGTCTCATCTTACACCAGAAAATCATTTGAACATTTCAGATTGCAGTTTGCTGTACACAACATGCACACACACTCATTTATTCATATGCTATCTTGCATTAGGTAAAATATGTAAAAATGTCTATGTACATGTAAAGAACAAGATAAAAGTTGAATCCAGTATGAATTATTGAAGTTTGAAGAGGAAAGCAGTGAAGGGTATATATTAGTGAGAAAGATGAGAAAGAAGACAGGTGGAAGCCTGTCAACTGGTACAAACTGGGCCTCTTGTAGTCTACCTGAGCATGGTATAGTATAAGCCAAAGGACCAAATAAAACCCTGATTAGACCATCACCAAGAATGGGCTCTTGACTTCCACTTTGTTATGACGAGCTAGAAAGACTGAGCATCCCTCTCACTGCAGTACAACTAGATGGTGGCTAAAGTATCACAAATATACCTTTAAATATATTCCTGGCTGGTATTAAAATAAAATCTCCAGTAGCAAAAGAAAAGAAAAAAAGAAAGAGAAGGAAAGAAGGAGAAATAAGAAGAATGTGTTGAAATGGAAAGAATGCACAATGAATGGTAAGCAAATGGGTGACCTGGGATTCCCTCTTGGATAGTTGTCAGTGGGGACCTCAGTCTGCTGCAAAGTGCAGGAGAAGAATCTGAGGCTTCCTATGAAGTCAAGGCCCCTAAAGCGGGCTAGAGTACTCTGGGATCATTAGCAACTCTGCCTCAAGAGAGAAGATGATAAAAATCTTCTCAGGAGAAAAGCATTCTCAATCTGGCACCTTTAGTTGACCATAGATTAAGTCCCCATTTGAAATTATTGGGCACCTGAAAAGTTGTCCTTAAAAACCTCCAGCTCCTAATGTGTCATTAGATCTAACAGAAGGATCTATGATACTGGGAGTAAAAATATGCATCTGCTGTTGTCCCAGAGAAATACTTGGATTATTAGAACCTTGCACATAACTGTGATCAAGATTGGATGTCCAAAATGATACAAAAACTAAATCAACAGAACCTTTGCTAAAGTTCTGCCACAGCATGTTATATTGTTTTGCCTCTATTTACATTAGTGAGAGCAATGACAGTGCTCTGATAATAAGAGTAAAGATTTAAGGAATGCTCACACTGTGCCAGACTCAACCTTAAGCACTACGTGATGTAGTGAGTCATCCTAGCGAACTCTCATGAATATGCTATTATTCTCTTTGTTATATAAACAAGAAAAACTGAGTTACAACCTTGTACAGCTTGCATAGGTAGTAAGCACTAAAAACCGGAGGTCGTATCCATGGTTTCAATTTATTCTTCATTTGGCTACCTATTGAGCAGTCTTGGTTGGACAGGAAGGGAAAACAGATCATCTTATTTATCCTTCTCAGTAATTTCTGGGTCCCTAGATTTTCAGCATCAGCCCTCCCCAGTCTGTAGCCTCTGCCTATCAGCAAGAATGGTTGTTCTTGGCTCATCACTATTTCCCAGTATCTACTACAATGTCATTCATCATGGTCCTTCAAGGACCTTGGGGGAAGTACAAATCTTTATCATTGCAAGTCCATGAGATTTGCACAAGAAAGATTGATATTTGTAAACTTCATAGTTTGAAGTAGTATGGTAATATGAGACACAAAATGACATTTGTTGTGAATTTCAAACATTCTTTCAGTTTGTTTTATTAAAGAGATGCATTACTGGAATATTTGAGAAAATGGAAATTCTTTTTTTATTTTTAAAAATTTATTTATTAATTTGAAAGTCAGAGTTACACAGATAGAGAAGGAGAGGCAGAGAGAAAGAAAGAGAGAGAGGGAGAGAGAGACAGAGAGAGAGAGAGGTCTTCCATCTGCTGGTTCAATGGCCAAAGCTGTGCTGATCCAAAGCCAGGAGCCAGGAGCTTCTTCCAGGTCAACCACGCGGGAGCAGGGGCCCAAGGACTTGGGTATCTTCTACTTTTTTCCCAGGCCTTAGCAGAGAGTTGGATTGAAAGTGGAGAAGCCGGGACTCAAACCAGCGCCCATGTGGGATGCTGGCACTGCAGGCAGCAGCTTTACTGCTACACCACAATGCTGGCCCCATAAAATTCTATTTTTTTTAATTTAAAGAAAAAACAATTCAAAACTTGAAGCACAATCATTGCCTAATAAATACAAAAATTTAAAATAAAGATTTATAAGCTAGTTAAAGAAATGGTATTAAGCATGGGGTTGCTAAATTTAAAAAAAAAATTAAGAATCTATCAAATTGACTTGGAAACACAAGCTTTTGGAAAAAGTTATGAGCCAAGATGTGCTTACCTATTCTGTCTTAAATGACACACTTGGAAAAATGGTTTCAATTATTTAGTACATCCAGAGATTGAGATTTTTCAGTAAAAGATACAATCTGAAGTTAATATAGACAAAATATTTACCACTAAAACAAAAACAAAATCTTTTAAGGTGGGTTGGACAAAAAAACCATCACAATTATTTATTTCTTTTGATTGCAATATAGACTAAACAGAATGATATTTAATAATGATCTTTTTTTTCAAATAAAATTATTAGTCTTTTGCATTTTCCATTGCAAAGAATTCTAATATAAGGGCACTTGTTTTGTGAGCCAAATAGGGAGGGGCAACTTTCCCAAGTGAACTCTTCAATGGTATAGGGGTAAATTAATGAATGCCTAAGAGTTTCTGACTCTTCCTCCAAGATACTATGCTTTATTAAAATAATTAGATGGCCTGGAACCCAGAAAGATGCTCATCACTAATTTTTTTCTTCAAATAAAATCACTTATATTTTTAGACAGTTTTAAACTATGCTACTCTTTTTCTCTCCAAATTTGGTTTATCATTCAGACTCTATATATTTAGGTTAAAGTTTTACTTTAAAGAAACAAATTATATTGGGTACAATCTAGGCATGTTTATCCCAGATCAACTCTTTTCTCCATATTTTAAAATTATAATTAAAATCTCCTATCATTCTTTGTTGAATGCTTTTTCTAGTAAAAATATATCTTCTAGATTTTAAAATATACTTACCCTACCTTCCTCCCTTACTTACTTACTTACCTTCCTTGGGCTTTTATTATCAAAAGCTGAAATGGTATTTTTATTTCAAGAACTCCAGTTAGAGGAGAACAAAATTTCAGGCTTTTCTCATGGAACTGAACACACATCTGTTTTTAAAATCAAAATTAAATAGAATGCAAAGTTTACATTGAAATCCAAATGCATAAGTATAAGCACTGACATTTGCTTTTGTTTCTGTAGAATAGTCAAAGAGAAAGAAAATGAAGCAAAACAAACAAACAAAAAAGAAAACTTCTAGTCTATGTGTCTATTTTGGAAATTTCTAGATGTTAATATTTTAAAAAGTATTGTTTCTGACTCATATGCTTTCAGAGTTCTCTAGAGGAATTCATGTATTAACATCAACTTTGTGTGTATAGGTGGCATGATAATATGCTCTGATATGTACTAGAACCTTGTCATTTTTTCCCAAACTCATTGCTACATCCACTCATTTCAATAAATTATCATCTCTACTGAATCATAGAATACAAACATCAAATTCTCATATCAACACCTGGCCTATGTTTAAAAAGTAAGTAGAATTGCTCTTTTCTTTTTCCTATCACCCATCACAACTTCAACTGCACACCTAATATTTTGTTTACTGCACTTACCAGACTTGCAACAATCCAAGTAAACATGGAAGAGTCCAGAAAGAGGGAAGGACATAAGACTCATATTGAAAGGAGGGAAAGCTCCAGCTGAACCTAAAACAAATACACAAAATTTGTCTGTATCTGAAAATAGCTTGTTCATAAAGGCCAAACATTTCTACTCCATGATTTTACATAAATATCCATGCCTCCAAAAGAAGGGAAATTCTATGAAGAAATCTGCATCATGTTGGTCATTGGGTGCGAGGTGATTAGAAACAGAGATTTAGGAAAATGCAAAGTATAGTACAGGTATGCTTCCTTTTCTCCAGCCTTTTCCCATGGACAAAGTCTAAGTTATATGGAGAGTGAGGTCACTGGGATGAGAGAAATGGAGAAGGGAGAGGAGAAATGGAGAGGGAACAGCGAGGAAGGATTCATAGCCAGCTGTATGAGAATTCAATGTATTTAATAAACACACACACAAAAGATCATTATCCACAAATATTCTAAAAACCATCACAAATCACTAAGAAATTGACATATTACCCTCTTTTACAAGCAGGCAAAATACATAAAAAATCAAATAATCAATAAGACTTGGGAAGATTCTCACTTTGCATTTCAATCAAGAAAATACAAAATAAATTAACAACAGTATGCCAATTTACACTGACAAGGATGTAGAAAATTAAAACATAAATGTTGGTATAGACACACATCAGGGAATCTCAAATATGTAGACATTTGACCAAGTACTGCCACTGCTAGATATTTATTTTAGAGAAACTCATGCAGATGAGCGTAAGCAAACATGCATGCAGGTGACATTTTATGCAATGCTGCATAATTTTGAGAGTAGGAATAATTTTCACTCAAAGAGGACTGAATAAACTAAATATGCTTTCTTCAAATTATGGTATACATTATAACAGTTAAAATTAATGATCTGAAGTTTCATATCACTGAATAAATCTTAGGAAATATAATTCTGGGTGAAGAAAATAAACTAGCAAATCACACATATAATATGAAAACATATTTGCAAATACTTCAAGGTCACAAAACAATAGGATAACCATTTAATGGATGCACATATATATATAGTAAAAGTACAAAAATATGCATAGAAAAGGACATATGACTTCTTCATGGGGTTATCTTTGAGGGTGAACATAGGAGGAGGAAGTGAAAGAGAAGTGATTGGGAAGTGGGTGATTCTATGATGTGTATATATATATATATTTTTTTTTTCTTTTACAAAAGAGTCGAGGAACTTCCAGTGATGTGATCTTGTCATCAAGGTAGGTTTTTATTTTTCCCAAAATTCCTCCTGAAAAAAACAAACAAACCAATTAGGATAGAAGAAGTATTTCATTGATAACATTTTAAATAAAACTAGAAAGAAATTTCCACAAAAGAAAAAAAGGTCAACAAAGTAAAAGGGCTAAAGTGTTTAAAAATTAAATGGTAAAAGCTTACTGTAATCAAAACAGTGTAATGCTTACATAAAAATGGATACATAGACCAGTAGAGTAGAACAGAGAGCCCAGACGTAAACCCATGTGCATATAACCTACCAATACTTGACAAGGATGTCAAGAAAATGCAATGGGGAGAGGAGGGCGTCTCCAACAGTGTGTTGAATAAATTGGATATGCCCATGCAGAAAGCATCAAATAAGACTCGTTATTTACACTACTTAAAAAAACTAGCTCAAAACAGACTAAAGATTTAAACTTAAGACCTAAAAATATAAAAACCAGAAGAAACCAGCAGAAAAGCTTCATGAAATTGGATTTCGAATGATATCACGGATATGACACCAAAAGCACAGGCCAAAAAAACAAAAACAAAAAACTAAACTCAAACTTTAAATTTACATATCCAAAACTATCATGAGAATGATCTGTAACCTGCAGGATGGCAGAAAATATTTTCAAGTTATCTGATAAGAGGTTATATTTAGAATATGTAAAGCACTACCACACAATCACAAGATATAGCCTAATTAAAAATGGACAAACAATCCAGACAAGCATTTTTCCAAAAAAGATATGCAAATGACAAACAACAATATGAAAATTCGCTCAATAACACCAACCATTAGAGGAACATATATCAGAACTCCTAGAAGATATTACTTCATAACCATTAAGGTGACTACATCACAACAAAAAAATAAGTATTGTTGAGGATGTGAAGCAATTTTGAAGTCTTTTGAACTACGGATGAAAAAGTAAAATAGTGCAGCCATGATGGAAATCAATATTAAATTTCCTCAAATACCTCTAGATATAGGAAGGGACCTCAAAATTTGTGAAAAATTGAAATTAAGAGAAAAAATGTAAAGAAAGTATTACAATGTGTTGCTGCTGTATTATTTTGTGCATAGATACTTTTAAATATTATCTTCACAGAATCATACCCTCTATAAAGTAATATTTTTAAAGATGGAATTAAAGGTTTATTCCTGTACAAAGAATTTTAACTTTGTGTATACTTCTTTCATAATATTCATTTTCTATAAACTTCTTAAGGATTTGGCATATCCAAAATTGAAAAGAGAATCTTGAAGATGTATTTGCATACTGTATTCACTGCAACATTACTCATAGTGGCTGAGGTAGAATCAGCTCAAATGTCCAGAAGAAACCAAGAGCCTGTGGTGATCACACCTCTAGCCTACATAAAAACACCCAAGGGGAGTATTAATCAGCTTAAAAAGTAGGGAATCTTGTCATACAGATGACCTGGATGAACACTGAGGACAGTCACAGAAACACACATACTGTATGATTCCACTTAAGTGAGAAATCTAAAGCGGTCAAATTTATAGAAAGCAAAATTGTACTTGCTACAAGGGGAAAAGAGTTACTTTTCAATGCATATGAAGTTTTGCGTTTGTGTAGTGAAAAAGCTCCAGGGATCTGTTATACAACAAAGTGAGCACTGTTAGCACTACTGAACTGCACATTAAAAAGTCATGACTGTGGTAAATTTTATTTTTACTACAATTAGAACCAAATAGAAAATCTGATAAAATCTTGATAATTGTTTTTTCCTGGGGATGGGAATATCTGGTAATATTTTCTTTATGAGTGTATAACAAAAATTTATAACTTTTTAGGGAAAAGAAAATCTGAAACAAATAGAGAATTGATATTTTCTTATTTAGGGGGAAGTAATTGGGAATTTTCTGCATGTTTGTAATATTTCATAGTTGATAAAAAGTAACAGTTACAGCTAACTGGTTGCTTTGGACCTTAAGTTTATCTAATATGAATCTATAAGTCTTAATTCGTATTCTCTAGAGAAGTAATCACACCTTAGTCCAATTGTGACATTTGAAGATCATATAACTTAAACAAAGCTGTGGGGCTGGTGCCATGGTGTAGTAGGTTAATCCTCCGCCTGTGGCGCCGGCACCCATATGGGCACCAGTTCTAGTCCCAGCTGCTCCTCTTCCAATCCGGCTCTCTGCTGTGGCCTGGGATAGCAGTAGAAGATGGCCCAAGTCCTTGGGCCCCTGCACCCACGTGGGAGACTGGGAAGAAGCACCTGGTTCCTGGCTTCGGATCAGCGCAGCTCCAGCCATTGTGGCCATTTGGGGAGTGTGGGGAGCAACTGGGAGCAACTGGGACTAGACTAAGTTACTGGAATTAAGACTTATTCTATGCATCTGCTCTCCCACAATATGGCGCTGGGAGAGGAGAAAACAGCTTCTACACAGCTGCCTCCAGTTCAACCAATAAACTGTAGGACCTGCTCCTGATTGGAGTAGAGCAGCGTACTCGGCGTGTGGGTAGCAGAGTTGGGATTGGTGGAAGAGGACTATAAAGGAGGAGAGAGACAACATGCACCAGGAACATCTATCTGAAGGAACACCTGAGCAGCCCCCGAGAGAGCTGGCCGGCGGTGTGCCGCTCCCCCGCGGAAGTGGGGAAAGTGGCAGGGGGAACCGCCCTTCCATGGAGGTGGAAGGGACGGTAGCCAACCCGGGAAGAACCAGCAGCAAACCCAGGGAGGGCCAAGCAGACGAAAGAACAGCGCAGGGTCCTGTGTCGTTCCTCCACGAAGACGGGGAGCGACAGGGGAGTGAACCAATGAATGCAAAACCTTACTCTCTGTCTCTCCCTCTCACTATCTGTAACTCTACCTCTCAAATAAATAAATAAAATCTTTTAAAAATAGCTAAAAAAAAAAAAAACCCACAAAGCTGTATGAGGGACATGGGATTAATTTCTAGAGGAGTGATATGGGCTATGTAGGGGGCTACAAAATATTTATTACAGATTGGAAAGACAAGACAGGTTTCACCTCTCTCTGTAACTCTGACTTTCAAATAAATAAGTAAATCTGTTAAAAAATTTTTTTGAAAAGATAGACTATAGGGTGATGATTTCCTTGTTGTCACTACTCAGGTATTGACATGTCACCCAGTTTGATTTTTTATTTTTATTTGATTAATTAATTAATATTTATTTTGAGAAGCAGACAGATGCAGAAAGCTCTCATCCACTGGCTCATTCCTCAAACACCTGTAACAGCTGAGACTGGGCAAGATGATGCTTGGAGCCGGGAACTCAATCCAGGGTTTCCACATGGGAGGCAGGCACTCAACTATTCGAAGCACCACCTATTGCCTCCTAGAGTGCACGTTAGCAAGCATCTGGAATGGAGAGCGGAGCTTGCATGCAAACAGGCAGTGCAATATGCGATGTGTAGATCCCAAATGGTATATTAACTGCTAAGCAAATGTCCACCCCATTTTGATGATTTTTGACAAATGCATATTCCTGTGTAATATACAACCCCTCCAGCAATGCCAAGCATAGACAAAAACCAGCAAGGGGAAGGAGTTAAGTATAGACAAGGTGGTAATTATGCATTCTCAGAGGATTCTAGTGAGGGGAGTGAGTTTAAGGGAGTGCAGAACAAGGAATCAGTGGATTTAAGATCCGTATGTGGTTAAAGAACAATACAAGGCATTTTTTAAATTCCCTACTGGATCTCTGTGACAGCATAGTAAGTGATTATATAGCTATGATTCATAAAAATATTAAAGAATGTTGAAATTTTTTTTGATTTGGAATAGTCCTAAAAGTTTCTTTTCCCTGAGTGCATCTTTCTGGAGAATATTTATAGATTGGTATATGTATGTACAAATCGGTATTTGTATTTACCAACAAGTATGTGTATTTGCAAATTAATCCTCACATCTGTTAACCTTACTTTAAATGTGTGAAAGAAGAGAGAACACAAACTGGTTTAATTATTGTTATAATTGGTTTAGATGACAATTTAGATGACAAACTCAGAAAGAAGCCTTTCAGCTTTACAATTTTAATGAACAAATGCATCATTGTCCACCAGGAGAATTTTAGTTCTGAAATTTAACTGAAACATTATAGGGTCCTTTTTTTTTAAAGATTTATTTATTTTACTTGAAAGTCAGAGTTACACAGAGAGAGGAGAGGCAGAGAGAGAGAGAAAGAGAGAGGTCTTCCATCCGATGGTTCACTTCCCAGTTGGCCGCAATGGCCAGAGCTGTGCAGATCTGAAGCCAGGAGGCAGGAGCTTCCTTCGGGTCTCCCATGTGGGTGCAGGGGCCCAAGGACCTGGGGCATCCTCCACTGCATTCCCAGGCCACAGCAGAGAGCTGGACAGGAAGTGGAGCAGCTGGGTCTTGAACCGGTGCCCATATGGGATGCCAGAGCTTCAGGCCAGGGCGTTAACCCACTGCGCCATGGCACCGGCTATAGGGTCCTTTTTAAACTTGACATTCTGAAGCAATTTTTGGTAAGTTACAAAAATTTCTATGAGAGGATACAGTGAAATGTAACTGTTTTTTGCTTTCTTGCTTATGAATTGACAATACTAGTTTTTCTAATTCAATAGCACAAAAAGATTTTTGACATCTTCCACAAGCCAGCAAATTCAATTCTAAAATCTCCATTTAGGTTACTTATTTTCAGACTTCAGATAAATATTTGCTTTGCTGCTACTTTACTGCAACCTAAAATATATATAGTATTTTTTTCACATTTGTAATTTATATCTCCCATATAAAAGGGCTATGGCAAGAGTTTCTGCAGCAGGAATTTACACCTCATTGCTTATAACTTATGAGGGGACTTCAAAGAATTTTTGAAAAAAATGAAATGAAAAGATGTTTGTTTTGGTGCAAAAATATTTTGAAATTTTTGCATTATTTGGGATAATTTTTATTTCTCTTAACTAATTGAAGACTTCTAATATAAAATCAGCCCTGTTTATTGGGTTAATTTCAGCTGATGTATTCTCATTATTGCTTTATTAAAATTTTCTAATTTTGCTATAATATGTCTAGAAAAAAGATTGTCATAAAATGTACTGAATGGAGCAGGAATAATTTATATGTTTTTTTCAGCCAACCTTAAACCATTACCCTAAAAATTTACTTAATGTACTTACAGTTCACATGTCATTTGGTAAAACAAAATGATGCTTTTTTTTTTTTTTTTTTTTGACAGGCAGAGTGGACAGTGAGAGAGAGAGACAGACCTTCCTTTGCCATTGGTTCACCCTCCAATGGCTGCCGCGGCCGGCGTGCTGCAGCCAGCTCACCGTGCTGATCCGATGGCAGGAGCCAGGTACTTATCCTGGTCCCATGGGGTGCAGGGCCCAAGGACTTGGGCCATCCTCCTCTGCACTCCCTGGCCACAGCAGAGAGCTGGCCTGGAAGAGGAGCAACCGGGACAGAATCCGGCGCCCCAACCAGGACTAGAACCCGGTGTGCTGGCACCGCAAGGCAGAGGATTAGCCTATTGAGCCACGGCGCCGGTTCCCTCTTCTTTTAAATGTTTATTTATTTTTGATCTACTTAAGAGGCAAAATGACAGAAAGAGAGAGAGAAGAGAAAGAGAGAGAGAGACCTTCCTTTTGCTGGTTCACTTCTTGAATACTTGTAACAGCTTGGACTGGGCTGGGTTGAATGAAGCCAGGAGCCACCACTCCATCCAGGTCTCCCACATGGGTGGCAGGGACTTGGGACATCAGCTGCTGTCTTCCAGGTGCATTGCTAAGAAGCTGAATTAGAAGTGGAATGCAGCCAGCCTCTCTGCTAAGGAACGAGGGCATCGCAAGCAGCAGCTGCACCCGTACAGCCCCACAATGCGAGCCCCCATTTTCTTTTGAGACAAAGTGGTTTTGCTCATTTCACTGCTCTTCACTATCACCTCCAGAAAGTACATAGAAAAAGGGAACAAAGACAAAATAAATATCTCACTTTTAAACTTTCATCACAAAATTTATCAGTAGTTATAATTGAGGAATAACTTGAGAAAACTTAAGCCTTTTTTTCTAAGACAAACTTTCTAACATTCTATTATACTCTGGAAGTCTCTTCTCCATGCATATAGTAATTCTATTGTTAATAAAAATCACTGACACTAGATTTCAGCAAGTAAACTAACAGTGAAAGAAGTGAGGGTCTTAGGAAGGCAGGGACTGTGGACTTAGGGACTTAGGGACTGTGGACTTTATCAGTTTGCACGCTTATTATTTATTGATGTTTACCAGTGACTTTGGGCAAGTTTGTTTAGTGTCTCTGAACCTCAGATTTCTTATTTTTACAAATAATGGGAGACAACACTATCCTGAAAATGTCATAATGAAAATTAGAACTACATTACTGGGCACTTGGAAGGGACATAAAACATCTTTAGCAGCATTTCCTGTGGCTGGGGAGCTGTGCTCTACCTGAGTACCTGAGTAGGCCCTGCCACCATTTTACTTTTTTAACAGTAAAATAGAGGAAACGTCTGTCTTAGTTACCTCAAAGAGCTCAGCATAGAATGTTAGAGTAATGAAATTACTTTCATTTATTGCAAAATGTTATAGGAATACATAAAAATACCATTTAGGGAAGTTCTACTGTAATTATTGAATTATTAGTTTATTTTCATGTTGAAAAAGACTTGCTTATGTTGAAATTTTCCTGAAGCGTGAGGTGCCAAACACACAGTCAGACAGCATCTCTGTGTTTTTCTCCACTGCTCTCTCACATTGCTGATAAGGACGAGCACCAGGGTCAGCCTGCAGCAGAATGGAGAACAGGCCAGGGATGGTTTTGCTCTTCTCACTGTCTCTGGCCTCTTCGTGTTGCCCACTGTGTGAGATGTTCCTGTTCTCACGCTGAATTTCATCCTTCTGCTCATTATTTTCATGAATTACCTTAGAAAGGGTGAATGAAATCATTTTGAGTATTTAAAAATGCAACACAAAATCAAACAACATTTTTTAAACTTTCCCAGCATGATCCTAATTTTGATCATTTTCTGTGATAAATGCTAGAGGAATTTATCGTTTTATTCCCAATCCAGTCAATGTCTTTAAAGTGCTTGGCGAACCATATTCCTATTTGTTTTCTCTTCATTTGTCAATGGCTTCACCTATGTCTTAACAGTTGTTTTGGTTTATTTTCATCAACTTCCTAAGATTTTGCATGTGTTACAAAATTTGCAATTTTAGTTTGCACTGTATTTTCCTTATAGTGTCAGGTGCTTACAATAGCTGACAATCAGTAAGAAATAAATAAAATACATTAAGGTAGTAGGAGAAAAGAAATGCCAGCAATAGATTCTTGAGTGAGCGTGGTTGTTTTATTAAAACCTTTGCGTCCTTGTACACGTACTTGCAGCTGCAGGAACTCAGATAAAAGTCTTAAGTAAACCACCTACTTGTCTGTCAAAAAGTATTGTTATTATTGTTCCCATTTTATACATGAGGAAACTGAGGCTAAGCCATGTTGATAAAGTTGCCAAGATCATAAAGTCTGGTTTGTATGGCAGAGCCAAAACTTGAATTTGTATCTACTTAACTTTCGAAAATCTTAAAACATTCTAGAACTTACAATTTGATTTTGAGTCTTTGAGGAAAAGCCGAGCAAAGAAAGGGGAAATAAGTCACAATACTAAAACTATGAATTAAGTTTACAATTAGGTAATCCAAATTTATTTTTTCACAGATTCAACAGACTTAGAATTAGAGCATAAGAGGGTTGGAAGTGTAATGTTTACATTTTCTAGTTTAGAAAACTGATTCTTGAGTGGTAAGTTGCCTGCCTGTAAGCACACAATCCCATGGGTCATAAAATTAGAACTCCCTGCTTTTTCCAAGATAATATCTGTAAGAAATAAAAAAAATGTATATTCTAACTGTGAGATTCCAGCTTTAGCATGGGAGTTTTCCAAGAAGAGCCTATGAAAGAGAACCTGGACTTAGCACCACAGTGGCAGAGAAGAGGTGAAGGAAAAGCAGGCGGGTGTGCTCATTAAGGCTTCCTGGATGTGCATCCAGAGGGTGCCCAGGATCTCACAGTCTGTGAGGGAACAGAAACACATTCAAGAATAAATATAATACTTTGTGTTCAAGCTGAATTGAAAAGCAAGTGACAGGGTGGTGTGGTCATTGGAGAAAGAAGGCATTAATTCAACCTGAGGGATTTGCATTGTTCTTGTGATGTTCCACAGAAGCCGGGACAATGGAGTTTAACAAGTTCCTGGGAGGCAAGAGGCTACTTCAATCAGGGGGGAATAAAAAACAGCAGAGACAGGAACGTATGTTAAAGGAATACCAAAGAATTTAATGAGGATTTGGATACTTGGGCCAAAGTCCCAGAGATTAATTTTGAATTCTTGGCTTCTAAAAATTATAGAATTGCTCTTTCAGAAAAGTCTTGCTCATTCCAAACTTTGCTTCATTTAAAAGTCCTTCAGAATACATTTCTACTTTTCTAGTATCATCACTAGCAGCCTCACATTTGCATTTTCTTTATCAGCATAAGCTGTAAGTGCCAATTACCTGTGACGAACCACTATATCACCTGGACTATATTTTGCCATTAAGAAATATCTAGACTTTGCTCGCCTATTTGCTTTTCACTTATAAATAGAATTCAATAGATGGGCAATTAGCTCAAACAGCACTGAGCATTTGAGCTGCTATAATGAGAATCTTTATACTTCCAGGAACAAAAAGCTTCCCCATATGGTGTCTGCTGCTTGCTGTGTGTTCCTCACTCACATTACGTATCACTCATAAACATTTAGTTTATTTTCCACACTGAAAGCAAATGTTTTCTTATCCATTTACATTTCCTATGCCCTTGTGGAGCTTTGGCTAAGTTCAAGTTTGCATAACTGAGAGGATGTCAATATCATAATAGTTTAAGAGTCTGTTTAGTTCTCTCCTCCCAGAGCTGAATAGATTCCCAGCCCTTGTGGTAGATTAATTCCTCTCCTGTTAAGGGGACAGATAACATCTTACCCACCTAGTATTTCTAGTACCTGCACTTAGTAGGAATTTCATCAAAAAGAGATGCAAGAGTGAGAATAAATGAATGAAACTGTTGTGAAGTTCCCTGTTGATCAGAGAATCTACATGTTGAGTATTTGTTAGAGAATCTGGTAAGAGGTAAAATTTAGATGTTTAAGACAGATTACCTGAAATGCTGGTATACTAGAGAGCCAAAAGTAACCCCTTTTTCATCCGTCCCAAATGTATGAAGTAAGAGACATAAAATGGGTGGGGACTAAAAAATAGTAACATTACTGAATTCTAAGGAATGTTTCCAATGAGATAACCAAGATTTGACTCGGAAGAAAAGAGCTGTCCAACAAAGAGAGTGTTTCAGAATAAAATAATATATAGAAATGGAGTGTTTGCAGTGCAAAATCATTGTTTAAAATGGTTGAATGGTAGAGTTTGAATGGGAGTGGGAAGGAAAGGAGAGAGAGACAAAAAAGTTTTCTGGAAAAATCTTGCAAGCAATTTATGTAGTCCCTATTGGACTTGCTCCTAAGAGGAATAGTGAATAACCGAATGATTCAAAGCAGGACACTGACACAATAGGTCAGCCATGATGTGAAACATGCTGGAAAATATGGCAAGAGAACTCTTTGAGAGGCTTGAACTCCAGGGGAGGCAGGGATGTTGGAGAGTAGCAGACAAATCTGAGACATGTCACATGCAAAGTCCAGAGAATTAGTGGCAGGTTATATGGAAAAATAGGAGGATGCTTCTGGGGTTCTCTAGAGATATAGAGAGATGGTAGGTCATTTTCTAATCAAGGTAGCCTGATGGGAGTTGATTTAGGGTGAAAATAATGAACTCACTTTTAGATTGCTGAGTTTGGGTGTCACTGTCATAACAATATTCAGTTGTAAGTAGGTAATAAAGGAAAACAAAACACAAGATATAATTTGAATGAAAGTAAAGATCTGAAAAACACTGATATAAGACAAAAGATTGATCCAGGCAGTGAAGATACGAATGATAAAATGGAAAAATGCTGAAATACTGAAATGCTCCACTTGAAAATGATCCCAAGATGTTAAAACAATTTTGAAAAACAGATCCTTAGGAGACCATTTATTACAAAATATTTAAGTATCTTTCTTGGGCAATTGCAAAACAAATTTGTCTGCAAAGGTACACTTACTATATAGCATGAGCTATAGCTGCATCTGGTTGCCATAGATTTATTTATTAATTGAGGATTTTTTTTCAGTTATAGCTGGAACAGATACTTCTTCATATTCATCTTTGTCCAATATGTGATCTGGAACAGCTCAATACAATTAGCAACTTCAATTTAGAACAGTGGCAGGACTGAAATAGCGAAGTGTGATTGATATCTCCTACAAATTAAGATGCATTGCTGAGTATCCTCAGGGTGACTTGGAACACTGTGATTAACTCTGCCACTGATCATGTGTTCATATAGAATTTCACTATCTTGTCTTCAGAGAGTTCATATGCCCAATAATCAAGATGTACCTGGGTTGGAGGATGCTATTGTTGGGAGAAAATTTAGACTATACCAAGGCCACGCCCTTCAGGAATCATAGATCTTGAAAAAATCTTGGAGCTATTGCAGATAGTGTTTTCAACTGTTGGTCAAGAGCCATTAACAAGTTGTGAAATCTCTTTGGTGAATTACAACTTGTTTGTTTATTTTTAAAACTGAAATAGAATAGAGTAGAATGTTTTAGAATAGAAAATGTCAAAGCACATTACACACAGTAAAGTGTCTGTGAACCAACAAGCATGGATAGGAGCAAAGAAGAAAGGCATTTCGCTAATGACAACCTGTGGAAAAACCAGGAAGGTGGGGGAAAATAAGGGATGTGTGGGAAAGTTTCAGATAGTACATGATAGCTATTGTTGAGTATTTAGATGTGGATGATTTATGGGAGATAAAAATGGATAACTACTGGGGCTTGTATTGGTCACACACACATTAAAAAAAAACCAGCTAGGGACTTTATATATCATTTAGTTAGCATGAAGAATCACAGAAGGCTCTTGGGTGGGTAACCCATTTGATAGAAGGGTTAATCTGAGACCAGCGGTAACACTAATCCAGACACTGCGATATAAAAATCTCCGTGTGCCAAACTTCATCAGGGCTTTGTATATGCTGTTCTTCTGTCTGGATTGCTTTCCATCATTGCTTCTATAATCTTATCATTGCTCTTTACTTCCATTTTTTTGTATATCAGTCAAATTTCTTCTCTGAGAAGCTTCCTTACCTCTAGTTCTCCTATTAAATATATTATACTTATGATTAATAACTAATATGCTGTTATTTAATATCTGTGTCAAATGCTAGAATGTAAAACTGACAATAGATGTAATTTGTCTTGTTTATAGCAATATATTCATCAAATAGACAGTTTGCTATACAGCCGATTATTTGTGATTAAGTAAAAGAGCAGTGAAAGTTACTACAGAAAGAAAACGAGGTATAAAGGATGTTGGAAAGGATAACTAGTGGGAGTTAGGAATTTACCGGGTATTAGAGCAAGGAAAAGGGAAATAGCCAAAGATTCTATCATTCTTGCTTTAAACAAACATGTTATCATGCATGCTCTGTGTCAGGTACTATGCCAGGCCTTGGGAAAATGCAGATGAAAATGTCATCAAGTATCCTAACTTCATGAGACTTACTCACAGTTGGCAATTAGACCAAATTCTTCTATTACAGTCACTATGAGACAGGAACTATTCAAAGTACTTCATATACACTAAATTAGCAACAACTTTATGAGACAGGCAGGTACAATTATATTCTACTTTCATAGATCAGGAAACTAAACCAGAGAGATAAATAACTTGCTCAGTTCACACTGGGAAGTGGAAGAGCTGAGATCTGGGACCATATTTTTTTT